AAAACATAATTACATTTTATAAACACATACCATCCTAGTAAAATACAAAATAATAATTGATGAATATTTTAACAAAACTACATTGAATAATCGTAATGTAAATCATAAATATCTTAATACAAATAATCATAACTATTTAAAGTAAACTAACAGGACAAACACAACAGGAATATAAAGTATTCTGAATTTATGTTAAGAAATCTAAAACATACTTAATATTAATTAGAGCAATGTTTAGTTTTTAATATCTAAACATTGCTTTTTTTATATTAATAATTGTATACATAAACAGTATATGATTCATATTACATTATTGGGCAAATTTAACAATAAATCAGAATGACAAAGGAATTCAATTTTAAATGCATATTAATGATGACCACTAAAATATGGAGTACTGAATTCTGTGTTCTGTGTTATCTTATTGAACCTTATGACTTAATAACCAAGATACATCTTGTGTGAATGTGTGAAGTACTTAATAAATATATTTTAATCATGGTTTTATTTTTGGATAATCAACATTATATGGAACTAGGTCGGGAGTTAGATTTAAGATTGAACGATTGTTTAAAAATACTATCACGCAATAACTAAATTAAATTTCAATATTTAAGAAATACGCAACTAGTGCAATTATCCAAAAACATGTAATTAATTTTATGCATTTTCACTCAAATATGCGAAAATAGAAACTGATATGACATGTCTGATAATATGTTTGATTTCTAATCAGAATAATTATTCTAGGTGAAATATATAAAATTTGCATAATTTTTATCTGGGCCTTATTTATGAGTATGAAAACATTAACTAGGTATATTATTATTTTTCTTAACATTATTGCGCTTAAACATATATTTTTATAAGACTGAATTTGAAAAGTTTGTCTTATTAGATTATAATAATTTTTGTTTTCAATATTTTATTTAGGTATGGACTTTGTCTATTTTACGTGATGACGATTTTGTTGTTGCGGGGAGCAATGACGCAGAACTTCGTACATGGAAGATATCAAAAATGAATGAAGAAGAATCAGAAATTAAAATGTCTGAGCTTTTGACCTCAGATAACTTACTAGATTTTGCTGTTAGTGTTTATTTCACTAGTTTGTAATTATTATGACTATACACTAAATAGAAAAATAATGATTTATATCATTTTTAGTCTTCAATAAAATGTGAAAAAAGTGGATCTTTAATGAGAGAAGGTCCTGGTCGTGTCGTATCTTCAGCTACAAATAGTACAAACCATGTTCTTTGTGTTCATGGCCATGGGAAATTGCTGGAGTTATTTATTTTTAGTGGAGATGGTGAAGCATTAGAACGTTTGCGTAATCGTCAACGAAAATTTAGGAAAAAGGCTTCTAAGTAAGTTAAATATATAATATAATAGTACAGTGGTTTCTTTTGAATATGGTAATTTAATAAACTAGCATAACAGTATAACACACGTCTAATACTTATATTTATGAAATATATAGCTTAGAAAATTGATTATGTTCCAAAGAATTGCTTAGATATTTTATTTGTATTTAGTTAAATGATAATCGAGTTCTCGTATCATATTTAATTATATTCATTTTGTTCTTAGTGTCAATTGTATAAAAAAATGTCCCAACATAAAAAACAAAAACATACCACTTATCTCTTTTTGTGAAACTTTGCAATTTTAAATCAAAAAATAATATAGGTTTTGTTTGTAAAAATTGTTTTTTTAAAAGATAAACAACTTCTACTGACCCATTGATTTGGTTAATTTGGCAAGCCTCTGGTTAGTGATATATATCTGCTACATTACTGAAAGACCACTGTGTTTATATTATGTTATTGAAATATATCAATCATATTAAGACAATAAGTGTAAAAATTGCATGGTAATTTAGGTTGGCAATATAAAAAATACTACCTTTAATTATTATAAATCATAATCATAAACATGTTTTGTAGGAGTGTTTATTTTCTATAAATAAGTTTTCATTGATTCTACGTCTTTATTAAGTGTTAATTGATTATGTTTTATAGGCGCGATGAAAATATTGAAGACACAGCATTTTTAAATGAAAAAAATCCTGCATTACAAGATGTGGTTCGACGATTACCTCCTATTTTAACGGACTACAAAATAAGGTCCGCTGATTTGGTTGTAACCCAGACTCACGTTAAGGTAATATCAAATCAATTAAAGTTTAGAGTATCATGGTCAAATATTTCATGTCTATTCTGTGGTTTCAACAGGTTGTTGTAAGTATGGCAGATAACACTTTGGCGTTTTATTCTTTATCATTAGGAGTTGGTAAAGAAGTAAAATTAATTCGTAAGATTTCGTTACACGGCCATAGATCAAATGTTAGAGTTATATCATTTAGTTCAGATAATTTAGCAATGTTCACTGGAGGTTCAGAGTCTATCAAAATGTGGAGCAGGAAAACTCTTAACTGTATTCGAACTGTCGAGACATCTAGTGCTGTTCAGTGTTTATGTGTGCTTCCTGGTGACCGACACATTTTAGCTGGACTGGAAGATGGTAAATTGTTGGTAATTGACATAGCTGCAGGAGATATTATTGAAAGCATTTCTGCTCATCAAAAAGATTTGAAGTCAATTTATATGTTACCAGATGAGGTAAAAAATAATTATATTTATTTTATTTTTATTTTTCTGATACAATTTTTATTTTTTTGGCAAACAACAGTTAGGTTGTGTAACAGGTGGTGGAGATAGCACAGTTAAACTATGGCAATTAGAACTGGTAACTTTGCCGAGTTCTGATAGAAAAGTGTTATCGTTGTTACACTTGAAGACATTAGAGTTAGATGAAAATGTACAGTGCGCAAGAGTAAGCCCAGATAACAAATTGCTAGCAGTTGCTCTTTTAGATAACACAGTCAAAATCTTTTTTATGGACACATTTAAGGTGAGTGTTATTATTGTACTCTCAGTCTGAATGTATAAGCAAAAATTTTATGGCAGAAGAACAATAAAAATAACATATTTTTTTTAGCACTTTATTGATCTTTATGGACACACATTACCAGTAAATGATATGGACATAAGTTATGATTCGTCAATCATTATAACTGCAAGTGGTGATAAGACAATCAGAATTTGGGGCTTGGATTACGGAGATTGTCATAGGCGCTTAACAACAGAGTCTACATTGACTAGTATTAAATTTATTCCTATGACTCATCAGTTTTTCACTTCAGACAAAAATGGAAACATTAAACATTGGGACGCTGATGTCTTTGAAAGAGTTTTAACACTTCAAGTAATTAATTAAGGAATTTATTATTATTATTTTTCTTTGTTACTGTGTATTATATGTATTTAATTCGGTTTAGGGTCACCGAGGTGAATGCCGCAATATGTCTGTGAGCGGAAATGGTTATTATGTTGTGAGTTGTGGACAAGACAATGTTATACGCTTATATGAAAAAACAGAAGAGCCCCTTGTATTAGAAGATGAACGGGAAGAAGAAAGAGCACAAGAAGATGATAAAGAATTAGCCACTGGCGAAGAAACCAATGTATATGGAGGGCCATCTGTTCTCGCATTGCCGACAAAAAAAACCATTTCATCAGAGAAAGCTGTAATACAATTATTTTCAATCCATTATTATTGTTCTTAAATATTTTTAATTTTATAATTTTTTAGGCTGAATTATTGTTGGAATGTTTAAATGTAATCAAAGAATACAAAGATAACCTATTGGAAAGTGAAAATAAAGGTGTAGACAAACCAACATTACCAATAATAATGACCGCGTTTAATGTTAAAACCACTGATGATTATTTATTGGAAATAATTAAAAGGATACGCTCCAGGCAAGTCCAATTTACTAGAACAATAATATTTTATTATTCTTATAATTTGTACCTACAATAGCTAATTAAAAATTAAACTAATATAATTTTCATAATTTCTAGTGAGTTGGAAGAGGTTTTATTACTTATGCCTTTTTCAAGCGTATGTTATTTTATGGAAGCTTTAATACCTTTGTTAAATCATATGCACCACGGAATTGAGCCAGTTGTCAGGTCACTCATATTCTTAGTACAAACATTGCACAAACCAATATCATCCGTCAATGATATGTTGCCTATTCTAAGGCAATTAAATGTACTCGCTACAAAGAAAACCAATGAATTTAGAGTATGTAACAAATTTACTGTATTTAAATTAGTGAATAATATTTATTAATCGAAAAACAATTATTTATTATTTAATTTGTGTATTAAATAGGATTTAGTGGGAGAAAATTTGCACTCTTTAATGTTCATAAATAATAGTCAGGAAGAGGAAGAATTAGTATTCAACATAACACAAAATGTTCAAAAGAAAAGAAAACGACAAAAGCAAAAACTGTTGAAAAGTGTGATTGTTAATATCTAATATTTTTTTTAAATTATTAAAAACAAAATGCATTGCCAATTAATTACAAGTTTTCATTATATCATAAGTAGTGAGTTGTGTACAACGTTAATGTTTCATCCAAATTGAGAAAGTAAAATATGGCTTATTGTAATTCTCCCCTTTAATATTATAAGAAAAAAATATATAAAATATATTTGCATAATATGTTTGTTGTTGTACAGGTTAAAATTAATTTTCTATCAACAAATCATCAGTTATGATGCTTCTTGAAACTCTTAATGCAATTATTGTTAATAAAATAAGTAAATGTATTAATTTTATAAATTATTATATTGCAACTTACCTACGTACTATAACACGCTATAAAAAATAACATTTAAATTCTATTATATTATATTCTAATTATGTACATAATTTATTTATAAATATTTACAGTTTTTTATAACTTTAGGAGCTAAAGTAGCTTGATCAATGTCAACTATAGTTGGGATCAGGAAAAATAACACCGACCCTTGCAGCTCGTTGCTCATATGCCAACTGTTGTAATCATTGATTCTCATAATTTTACTGTAACTCTACTGTTACGTTAATTTACATCATCATAAAAATAAAGGCAGCCTTACAATATAAAAAAATAAAAATAAAATAACATCCATATTATAAATAATTTGTAATTTCTAAAAAATATAAGAATTTATGATTTAGATACCACTATCAAAAAAATTATGCTTTAATGCATAATGATCAACATTCATTCTTTGTGCTCTTGACTATAACTGCATAACTAAATGGGGGTAAGCAATTAAGTCAAATATAAATGTGCTCTGTTCCAAATTGTGGTTGGAACAAGTCAACTTAACTGCACACATCAACTCTTGGGTGTGTAAAATATACTTTAAAAATTGTATTTAGAAAGTACTTAAAATATATTATTTCAAATATTTTTAAGAAAAAAAGTATTTAAGAATAATAACCTGGCGAGTAAGTTTGTTTTTAATTGTATAAAGTAAGAATATTAATTTTGTAATACCTACTTCATTTTATACTGAAAAATGAAAAATTGTTTTGAAGAAAAATTACCAATACAGACCAATTTAAGACTAATAAATGATATTTATTTAACATCATTGATATAACTAAAGAACAAGTATAAAAGGTATACTGTTTGTCTTATTATTAGTTTTAAAAAAGTATGTTTATCAAAATGTATTTATTAATTAATTTAAATTTTGTTCTATGTGATTTTATAATCACAAAATGTGAAATATTCATTCAAAATTTAATAAAAAGAAAGGCCTACACTTTTTGTAAAATAAATAATAATTGTAAATAATGCAAATTGCACAATCTTTTAAATAAAAATATACTAATCCATATAATATAATAATTTATAAATTATAATACATTTTTTTAAATAAATATTAAACAATTTTTG